CTGCTGAAGGCCTGAAAGTCTTTGCAACCCACAAAAGGATGAGTTTACAAATACCACCTTCCCCACCATTCATAAAACATTTCAAAGAACTGACTGCTCTGAGGTCCTCTGACTATCAAACTCTTACCAGAGCAGGATAAGAGTGAGTCAGCCCATAAACCCATAATAGCTCATCTACTGGGGTCTGCACATTCAGGAGAAACACTGGTGGGTCTTCACTGCTACTTTAAAGGGCAAGTCTGCACAAAAGAGAGGAAGCAGGACTGGCAGGAACGGATGTGTCATGCTGCTTTTCCACAGATAATCAGAGGGGATTCCCTCTTTAAAGTCAGCCTGGTCACACACTGCCAGGACTCCCAGTGCCCTGGCCACGGGGCTTCTCAGGGTATGGCAGCATCTCTGCTCTGACCAGCACCAGAAACCACTGAGCCTGAGGAGGGGCTGTCAGGACCCCAAACAGATGAAAGCTCCTCACACCATGGATAACTTCCAAATAATAATAAGAAATAAGCTAAACTGCTATAACTCTGCTGTTGGATGGCCCTAAAACAGCATCAGCCTTGCAACAAAGCACACAGGCTTGCACCTCCAGACGACAGAAGACAGGATGGCAGTCCTGCCTCAGGTCAGCCTGCTCTGCTGCGCCACTGAAGCCAGTGTCACGGTGTCGCACTGCACGTGTTTGTACAACACATCAGATCAGGCTGCCTGGAAAATACCACTGTAGCTAACTTTAAGTGAGGTACATATGCATGGAGAGGTATGATTAGTAATTAAATCAACCAATTTACCCATACAGAAAAAAACCCCTCAACCTTTCAGGCATGCAAGTCCTTCTTCAAGAAATCCAGCTAACAGCACATATGTCTCCTTGCGAACCTTGTCCTGCTTGTCTACCCTTAAGTCTTTCCAGCTACAAATACTACCATCCTTTAAGACTGGTGATTTGATGTGTAAGGGTCACAGTAGTTGTTAAAATACTGGAAGCCTGTTCTGGAGGCAGTAACTGGAACTGAGACAGCTCTCTGCCAGGCAAGGACTATTCATGCTTCTTGCTTGCTGGCCAGAAAATCCTGTATTCTTTTCTACACTCAGAAACATCATTAACAGCAGGGCAAAGCGAGCCTCTGTACAGGAGGTACTGATCATGAAGGACAGGTCATTCTCCAGGAGTGCAAGGCAAGTTCACTTCCCCTCCACAGCCAAAGGAGACTCCAAGTCACTTCCCGGCTGATGGGAGAGAGGAGGTGCCTCCTGGATGAGGAGTTCTTTGAGAGGAAGGACACGGCTGGAGAAAGGTGTGCTCCAGCAAGCCTGGAAAAAGAGGCATTAGCACCATTCTCGCAACTTATTTCCTTCTAGCTGGCTCTATGCAGCTGTCTGCTGTCCTGAAGGATAGCACACAGAATATTTCAACCCTTATCTGATATTCAGTCGGGAATCCTGACATTTTGTGCTACCACACCTCAGGCACTTTTTACTCCAGCCAACTTTGAGATTTTTCTGACAGGTTACAACACAACCTGGGCACTTTGCTGCCTGCTGTTGCTCTCTGAGCACTTCAGAGTTAAATCAAGGAATCCAAAGCTCCAAGACAGACAATCAACAAGTGCCAGTAGAGATGAATGAGAGATATGTCAAAGAGAAAGTCACCTCTGATCAACAGGCAGTAAATTCCCTGATGTCACACTGGCAGGAAAGCAAGCATATTATTTCTCTGACTCTAAAGCTCACACTGCCCAGAGTGGTGCTCTTGGAGTCAGTATCTTCTGGCTGCCCCAGGAGCTGTACATATGGTGATGAGATAAGAAATTAGGACGACTGCCAACAATAAGAAAAAAAAGGGATGTTTTGAATTCTGAAGCCTACAGTTTTCCTTTGAATGCGTACACTGAACTGCTGCCACACAACATGAATAGACCTATTCCCTCATAAAACTCCTTAAATCACTGCATATCTGGATATATTCTAGCACAGAGAAATGCAGCTGACTGCCTAACCAGTCACTTTCCCCTGGGAAGTGTGGAATTGCTTTAGGAGAGAGTGAAACACCCAAAGGCCTCGTGCCTGAACACACTCACACCAGTACCACCACCTCTCTGGTCCTGGGATATCTGTAAAGGTATGTGAGCAACTTTGACAAACACAGAGGCCTCTGTCTCTTCACCAACTGCCAAGAAGAAGAGCTAGAAAAACCTCACACCTCTTCAAGAGGTGCTGGTGCCTTACAAAGCTTCAAGAAGGGCAGCTGAGCCTGGAATGAGCCTTCACACCAATGCAGTCACTGCTCTGCATTGCTGGGCACAGTGCACTTGCAACAAGCAGGAAAGCACAGGGTTCAAAAAACACAAGCCAGGTTCACTCAGAGCACAGCCCAAACAGCTGCAGAAAAGCCAGTCAATGCTGGAGCTTCAGCTACCAACTGGGCTCCGAGTGGTAGCTCGCAGTGTCGTCAATGAAGCAGTAAACGCTCTAGGGCTGAGAAAAGCCCACCCAGGGCTTGGCTTCCCTCCACAAACTTGGAGTCCAGGAAAGCTGCACATTTACCTCATTTCACCAGGACAGCTGCCAGAATCCACTAAAAGGGCACCTTCAGAAGATAAAAGCATGACAGCCCTGACCAGCTGGAAGAGGTTCTGGGGATGAGAATTTCACAAAGAGCAGCACTGGTACATGTCAGGAACATTTTGCCCTCTAGCAGAGGATGGGGCCCTTGATGCCTACTCTGATGCCTTGCACAGAGCGGCAGAACCAACTGCAGATGCTGCTGAAGCACAGAGGAACTCCCAGCTAGGACTATAGTATTTAGCCTCCTGTCAGCTTTAGGATTTATGGTTCATCAAGTTTCCATCCTATACACACACAAAGCACTTGGGGTGGAAGGGGATGGGGAGAGGAACAATCCTTCTCCTGATGATGCACGGCCTGCTTCACTCTTGACAGTAGAGGGATTTTCACAAGTATTGCATCCAAGAAAGTGGAAAGAGGGGCTGGAAAACAGCTTGTGATCCCACTCCAGCAAAGGCAAAGCAGACTGAGGTTAAGCCCAGTCAGTCTTTCAGCTCAGATGGCCAGCTACGAAACAAAGGACCTGCAAGCTTGTCAAGCACTACATCCCAGCAGTGGCACACCCCAATCTAATCTGGTTCCCTACAACTGCAGCAGCCAACCTTGCTGGCTTTAAAGGGAAATGGAAGTTAATCACAGGACATCGGCCAGCTGTGTTATGTTGTACAAGTGGCACAGGGAACAGAGAGCCCCTCCTGACCGCTACAGGTCACTGGTGTGGTTGCGACAACTTCTTATCAGCTTTGGTAAGAGGTCTATGCAGCTCACTGCCGTGGCAGAGCTTTAAAACACACACCTTCCCGCTGTTCGTTTGACAGTTGCTCTTTGGGGAACTCCACATCAAATGTTATTATTAGTGAGCCTTTGATATTATTGTTATCAAAATTTGGAAGACCTTCTCCTTTCTTCCACAATTTGGCCCCGGGTTTCGTAATTTTATCCCGAGCAATGTGAACCTAGAGACAAAAGAAATGCCAAAATGTTACCAGTGTTCTGTGTGTGTACCCCAATACCACATATGCCCTTTCCAATCCACTGCAAAGCTTCAGCTGACATCAATTGCTTGCCACAGTCAGTAATATTTGAGGGGTCCAGGCAGTTTTACTGCCAGGATACATGCCAGAACTAATACCACCCAAGAAAGCGTATTCAGTAACTGCTGTGACAGCCTTGAACCCAAATCTCCCTTGTAGAGGGCTCGTTTTGGATCCAGCAGTGGGGAAATTAAACAACCAGCAGCTGCACAGACCCCAAGTAAGCTAACGCTCAGCACAGGGGACCTGCTGCTAAATTCTGTTTACAAGGAGCGAGAAAGCAACCCATTGCCTCACCTTGTGCCCATCCAAGTGGGCAATATCCATTTCAAAGCCTGTAAGTGCCTCGACCAGTGAGATTGTCACATTTGTATACAAGTCATCTCCTCTTCTTTCAAAGACTGGGTGTCTGTGGAAATAAGAGACATTGGAAATTCACTCCTTCCCCATAGGGGAAATAGCCCCTCTAGCTTCCTTCCGTTCTATTTGTGAGTTGAGAATTCAAAAGTCAGAGAGGAAGTGAAGAATGAATGAAATTTAGCTTCATTTTCCTGTGTGAGGAAATACTACCAAATAACCTTTCTATTTCTAGGGCAATGAGTGGTGAGGTGTGTCAAGAAGTCGTGACTCACACAACGATTTTCTTAGTAGTGCATTTCCTTACGATAGCGAGATAGTAAGTTTATGGAAAAAGGAGATACTTCATGTGATTCACTCAGGAGCTACTAACGCACACCAAGATTTAAGCCAAACAAAATAAAAGTGGCATTATCACAGCATCTTAACAGTGGTGAATCCAGCATCATCAGGGTTGGACATCCTGCACAACCCCAAGTACCAGACTCTGGGCTGCATCAGCTCTGCTGAAGGGTAAGCTACACACTAGCTAAGTGGGCAACACTGGCCAGAAAGAAGGAAGGGTCTAACCAGGCCAGTTACTTACTTCAGAACTTTTATTCGGAAGCGCAAATCACCTGGCTCCCCATCCACGTGGGGTTCACCTGCAGAAAACCAAAGAACAGCTCTGCTTAAAGGAGCTAGTTAGTAACCACTGCAGAAATAAGCAGCACATTAAATATAATAGAGATTTCCAGCTCACATGTTAAAGGAAAAAAACAACTAGTTGATGCTTACATGACCAAAACCCTGCTTACATGTCTGTTACTGAAAAGTCTAGGACTTTCTGAGTATTGCACTCATACATCTTGGCTGTTCTGAAAGACTTGCCTGCATATTAATAATTAATTAGTAATAATAATAATGTTAATTACTTGTTGAAGGACTTCATCTCTTTAGGCAGAGGGGATACTTTCACATACTGAAGCCTGTAACACATACTCCTACTCAAAAGTTACTTGAAACATCATATTTAGAGGTTTGGTTTTTGGTGTGCATGTCCTCACTACCAGCAAAGGGAGTGGAACTCATATCATTATCCAGACGTAGCATAGAGCATGCTCCTGGATTTCAGCAGTGTGCAGAGGACACAGTACTTAAATACCACATGTGCTGATCAGCTACTCAAAGCAGGGCTCAGACACTTTCCCTGCCATGAAAACCAGCCTTTCATCACTGAAAAAGAGCAAGTCAATCGATGCTGAGCAGCAGAGCAGTGCTGCTATACGTACCCTCTCCGATGAAGGGATACTCCATACCATCTCTCACACCTGGCTCTATCTCCACTTCTAGTGTTCGCTCCTCATTCA